CCCCCGCACCTCTTCACAAACCGTGCTCTCCGACATGTTATGCCGGCACCGCTGATGGCAAACCGCGCAGCCGAGATGCTGCTGGATGTCAAGCGGCTGCTGGGGTCGCTCTACGAGGAGTATGACTACGAGTTTGACCCCGCCTGGGTAAGCATATTCGATCGTGTGATCTGAGATCTTGGTCAATGCAGATTTTGGGTTTGAAAGCAGGTGCGCTGCCTGGGGCACGTTCACTGCGGGCCCGGGGGCTCGTTCAGGCCACACAACACACGCGCGACAGCGGCTTGAGCGCAGATGCCCCAGGTGCCGCCCAACACCGCCCAGCGGACCCATCTCTGAAGCGCTCCATGATCTGAGCACCGGGGCCCGTGGCCTGGGCCTGCCGTCCGCTGGGCTTCTCATCCCTCCTGCGATCTCCGGTTGACACCTGGTGACGTCATCCGCCCAGGTGGAGGGCGAGATCCCCAAGGACCTGTTCGGCTCATACTTCCGGAACGGCCCGGGCCTGCAGGTGTGGTGATGAGAAAAAGCAGCGTGTTCATAGGTGGCGCGCAGGCGCCATGCTAGCTGGCCTGACCAGCTCCTGCATGTAACATGTGTATCCCTCGCGGCTGGCCGCGGCTGCTGCACGTGAAAGGCTGCGAGCGCTCGGCCCGCAAGGGCAGCGACGGGCGGCCGTTTCTTGTGCATGCGCGTGCGAGGGCGTGAGCGCATGCAGCAGCCATCCGACTCAATACACATGCGCCCTGGAATACCAATCTGTACAGGTCGCGAGCGAGCGCTACACGCGCCACGCGTTTGACGGGGACGGCATGGTCTGCTGCTTCTCCTTCAGGGACGGCCGCGCGTGGTTCAGGAACAAGTTTGTCCGCACAAAGGGGTTTGTGCAGGAGCAGGTGTGGCGATGATTAAGGGTCACCACGCACATTTAGAAGACATGCGGGCACTGCTATGTCAGTCTGCGTGGTGGGAAAGCGAGGCCGCCTTCCGGCAGCTTGACAGCAGCTTCCGGGCAGCCGGTGATTGGCGGCCTGGCGGGGCCGCTCAGGCGCCGGCGAGCCATGGGTGGACGCGGCCGCGTGCATTGGTTTGAGCACCCAGCCGCAGCAAGCGAGCGAGTCACCGTGCCATCGCCCACCTCTGCTGCCGCGCTTCGCACGTGAATGTGTCGAGGCCAGGCGGCGGGCCGGCCGCTGTTCCGCAGCGCCTTCACCAAGGGCTCCGCCGACGGGTCTCCGTTTTTCAACCCCTTTGACCTGGACATGAAAAATGTGGCCAACACTGGTGGGTGGTGTGGGTAGGTGGGCGGGTGGGCGATGTAGGTGGTCGGTGGTTGGCTTTTGGGTGCGGCGGGGTGGTTGGGTG